GGCCACGTGACCCGGAAGTGTCTGCGGACAGCGCTGGCCCCCGGCCTCTTGAGTGAGATGGGAGCACAACCCTAGAGTCTGGCAAGACTGGCCCATACGGGCAAGGGTACCTTTACCTTTAACACCAAAATAGAGCCCTTCCATTAAAATGATGCCTCCTTTCCCCTGCTTACCTGTGTGGGGTGTTCTGTCCTGGCCCACCCCCCAGTTTTGGTGGCGGAGTGGGCATTTTGGGGTGACTTCTTCTCCCGCATACAGAAGACACTGGTATTACTATTTCTACTGTTACTAGTGAAGACAGGAGGGCCTGGCCTGCTCTGGTCCAGGGGGTCACAAAGAGTCGGACACAACTAAACGACTAAACAACAACAACTGTTACTAGTATTACTACTACTATTGCTACTGACATTATTACTGCGGTTTTTTCTGTTATCAGTATCACTACTATTGTTACTATGGCTGCAATTATAATTATAGCGATAATTTTATTGCTGTTAGAATCATAGAATCATAGAATCATAGAGTTGGAAGAGACCACAAGGGCCATCGAGTCCAACCCCCTGCCAAGCAGGAAACACCATCAGAGCACTCCTGACATATGGTTGTCAAGCCTCTGCTTAAAGACCTCCAAAGGAGGAGACTCCACCACACTCCTGGGCAGCAAATTCCACTGTCGAACAGCTCTTACTGTCAGGAAGTTCTTCCTAATGTTGAGGTGGAATCTTCTTTCTTGTAGTTTGGATCCATTGCTCCGTGTCCGCTTCTCTGGAGCAGCAGAAAACAGCCTTTCTCCCTCCTCTATGTGACATCCTTTTATATATTTGAACATGGCTATCATATCACCCCTTAACCTCCTCTTCTCCAGGCTAAACATGCCCAGCTCCCTTAGCCGTTCCTCATAAGGCATCGTTTCCAGGACTTTGACCATTTTGGTTGCCCTCCTCTGGACACGTTCCAGTTTGTCAGTGTCCTTCTTCTGTGGTGCCCAGAACTGGACACAGTACTCCAGGTGAGGTCTGACCAGAGCAGAATACAGTGGCACTATTACTTCCCTTGATCTAGATGCTATACTCCTATTGATGAGGCCCAGAATTGCATTGGCTTTTTTAGCTGCCGCGTCACACTGTTGGCTCATGTCAAGTTTGTGTTGGCTCATGTCAAGTTTATTTTACCTTGATTCACCACTTTTTCTACAAGGAGGAGCATTGCTCTCTCACTTCCCATTTTATTCTCACAACAAACCTCCGAGGTTAGACTGAGAGGTAGCAACTGGCTTAGGGTCACAGCTTCATGGCTAAGTGGGAGTTTGAACCCTACTCTGCCCGGTCCTAGTCCAACACTCTAACTACCACACCATAGTGGTTCTCACACCATACATGTGTGTACGCGCTTTGTGGGAAGGGGTAGAGTAAGAGGAAAGAAGCTAAGAGCAGTACCAGTCAGACAAGCCCAATTGTTAGCTGTTGTTTTTTAAATAGTAAATTTTATTAGTATTTTCCACACAACAACAACAAAGAAAAATAACAAAACACAAAAACAAGCATATTAAAAAACAAAACGAATCCAAATCTTACAAATTAATAATATAAACACTAAAAAGGAAAACAAACATTGACTTCCACCAGTCCCACAGCAGCTCCTTTACCTCTCCTTGTGTCTTCCAGTTTTCCTTATCATCTCTATCCTAACATCTAGATATACGGTAAATCCCTTTTTCTTATGCTTTCACTTCACAAGGTTATTCCAGACTCAGCCAGATTTCTGTCCTCGAACCTTGGCTTTTAAGGTATTCATTTAGGCACTCCCATTCCTTTTTCACTTTGCTTTTTGGGTTTGTCTTATTATATTGGTCAGTTGGGCTAATTCTAAATATTCTGAAAGCTTACATAACCATTCTCTCCTAGTTTTTTTAGTTTTCAGATAGATCAAAGGCATCCATTCTGATTGTAGCAAGTATGTAGGGAGTTCTATCCTGGCACCCTGCTCCCCCTAATTTTTGGAGTGGTGTTGGGTGTTTGCATCCAGAGATCTAAACCTGCAATGCACCCAGCTGCTGATAATCAACAGGGCCTTCTCAGTGGTGGCTCCCCATTTACGGATTGCCCTCCTTGGTGAGATGCCATTGTCTCTCTCATTTCTGACTTTCAGGAGGAATTTGTAAACCTTCCAGTATATGCTGCAGGCATTTGATGGCGGGAAGATATCATTCCTGGCAACTGTAGTTCCCTCTTTATAGAACATTTTTTATTTAAAAAAATGCTTTTAAAAATTGCTATTATTGATACGTTTGCAACCCTGGACTCCTTTGGAAAGGCAGGGTGTAAATTGCATCAATAAAACAATAATTCACGGAGGGCCTTATTTGCCTGATGAAATGCTTCTTGCTGACCATCGACAAATATCCTGGAGGGAGGAATCTAAACCACTATCCGTCCGACTTGAGCAGCAATTTTTCTTTTCTTTTCTTTTCTTTCTTTTCTTTTCTTTTCTTTTCTTTCTTTCTTTTCCAATGCCCTGGATTTGAACTGACTCCCTGGGAGCAAACTGCTCTCCACCCTGCAGAGCTGGCCAGCTGCTTCCCTGCCCCCAGGCAGGAGAACGCAAGAGAGCAGCATCTGTTTGGGTTTGCAAACATCAGCAGGAAACATGCACTGATTCAGCTGGATGAAGTGGCAGACGATGAGGACAGGAGGCCACAGATTGGAGGGGTCTTTGTGCATCCTGTTTCGGGTCAGGCTGGGAAATGGCCGAGTAGTGGGATGAAGATGGAGAGGAAGGCGACAGATGCCACAGAGGAGATTGTTTTTTGAAAGCCGTGAAGATTTCCAAAATCCCTGCCCTGGATATAGGAGTTTTGAATTAACTTCTCATTTTTTCTTCAGCGCACAGTTTGTCAAAATTGGGATCTTGGAAGGGTCATCTTACAGGGCAGGAACATGACTGGGGGTCTGTGGTTGTTATTTTCCCAGAATGCCTCTGGGTCAGGGCCCAGAGGCATTATGGGGTAGTGAAGATGGCGGCAGCTGTGGCCATCTTCCCAAGCCCTTCTCCTTTTCCCCCGAGCTCTGAATAAAGGAGGGTCTGCTTTGGAGCCTGCTCAATTTGGCTATGCTATGAAGTCCCCGCTTTGGGGCTTCCAAGCACCAAATCACCTAAGGTCATTTGCAACATCTGCTGATTGGCAGGTGTGGGGGGGCCACCCACCTGACAGATTTGGTCCGTGAGGCAGGATCTGATAATTATTATTATTAAGCAACTACTCTATTCCAAACTTAAAAATGGAAAGCGTAATGCTGGTGGTCAACAAAAGAAGTTTAAAGACTGTCTCAAGGCAAATCTAAAAAAATGTAGTATAAACACCAACAATTGGGAAACACTGGCCTGCGAGCGCTCCAGTTGGAGAACAACTTGTACCAAAGGTGTCATGGGCTCTGAAGACACTCTGTGCCGGTCCCGGGGGGTAGGTTACCGTGGGGCAAGGTCCAGGACCTGGGTCGAGGGTCTGTAGTCTGTAGTCTGTCCTCCACGGGCGAGGCGGGGTCCAAAGCGAGGAGCCGGGCAAGGACGGGAACTCTGGAGGAACAGGACTGGGTGCTGGCCGAAACAGCTCTTCAACGACGTTGCTCCCGCAACCTGGGACCGGGCTGACTGGCCTTTATCTTCTCTGAGGCCAGGGGCGGTCCCGGCCCCCAGGTGACCCACCTCTTCTGGCCTTAAGGCGAGCACTCCTCCTGGGAGAAACCAGTTCCCTCCGCCTCTCTGCCCTGAGCCTCTGCAGCTCAGGAGAGGCTGGAGTGTTACTGGACCCAGGGGGAGACTCACCTTCCCCTGACAGGGCTGGGAGAGGCGCACCTGTAGGCGATGTGTCCTCCATCACCTCTGGAGCCAGAGTGGGTTCACCTGGTGTCTGCTCCTGAGGATCCGGCACAGGTGCAGGTGCTTCAGATGCAAGCCCCAGCCCCGGCTCAGCTGGTCCTGGAGGCGGGGACTCCTGTGCAGGCTGGGATTCCTCCGGTTCAGCCTCTGAATCGGATTCCCAGGCCATCACACACTCGAACTCAGGACGCAAGGGAGAAACATGCTAAGAGGAAGGCACGCTGGGCAAATCCACACTGTGATCAGCTCCCACCCGGAAACTAATGTCCCCACTGTGGAAGGACGTGTGGATCCAGAATTGGCCTCCACAGTCACTTAGAGACTCATTGTTAAAACTGTGTTTATGGAAGACAATCTTACTTGGCTACCAGTGATCGCCAAATAACGGTAACAGTAACGATAATATATACCCTGCTCATCTGGGTGGCTCCCAACAGATTAAAAACAGAACAAAACATCAAACATTAAAAACTTCCCTAAACAGGGCTGCCTTCGGATGTCTTTAAAAAAACCCGATAACGATAATGGTAACAACGATAACGATAACAACGATAACGATAACAACGATAATGATATCGTTATCGTTGATACCGTAATCGTTGTTATCGTTGTTATCGTACAACAGTAACGATAACGGTAAGGATAACAACGATAACAATAACAACGATAATAATATCGTTATCGTCGTTATCGTTATCGTTGTTATCGTTATTGTTAATATATACCCTGCCCATCTGGCCGGGTTTCCCCAGATTAAAAACAGAATAAAACATCAAACATCAAACATTAAAAACTTCCCTAAACAGGGCTGCCTTCGGATGTCTTTTAGAAATAAGTTAGCTGCTTATTTCCTTGACATTTGATGGGAGGGCCCTCTGCCTGCTTCCCTGTAACCTCACTTCTCGCAGGGAGGGAACCGCCAGAAGGCCCTCGGAGCTGGACCTCAGTGTGCAGGCTGAACGATGGGGGTGGAGACGCTCCTTCAGGTATACTGGCCATTTAGGGCTTTAAAGGTCAGCACCAACCCTTTGCTCGGAAACATACTGGGAGCCAATGAACCGTATTGGCCCAATTATAAGCCGCACCTTAAAAATTGGAGGGGGGAGGGAAAAAAGGGAAAATACCTGAATAGAAGCTGCTCCCTTCCTGACTGCGCCTGGGCGGTGGGGGAGTGAGGAGCCACGCTGCATTGCTAACAGCCTTTCCCCTTCCTCGCTCTCTCTCCCTTCCTGGCCTTGCAGGAGATGATAGGGGAGTATGGAGCGGGGCTTGCGCCGCTTCGCTGTTCTCCTGGCACTGCTTGCCCTCCGTAAGCTCGCAAATATAAGCCGCACTTTAACTTTTCATAGTTGGAATTTGTGGAGGAAATTGAGGCTTATATTCAGGCCAATACGGTAGGTCTTTCAGGACTGGTGTTATATGGTCTTGGTGGCCGCTCCCAGGATCTGGCCCTCAAAGCTGTGATAGGAATTTTGAGGTCTTGGATATATGTTAAATGTTCATAAGTGTACCAACCAAGCACGTACATAGATCAGCACAGGAAGACCGACCTGAAACCATTTTGATTCCCAAACTTAGCAAATGATTTCTCTGCAAGGTCAAAGGAAAATGGAAAAGCCTCCCCATTGTCTTTTCCTTCACAAATCCTGTCTTAAGGGCACATTTAAGATATGAATAGGGTGTGAGGTTGTGACCTGGCTCAGGAACTAAGTATTTATCATTGCAAAAGACTGGCCAGGCTCCCCAGGCAACCCAATCAAGTGACCATTCAACAGGTAACCTGGCAGACAGGAGGTAAACAAAGCACTCAGATTTCTGCTGTAGACCGCCTTTTCTGTGATGTAGGTATGTGGGTGGAGGTCTTGAGCTACACCCCTTCTGGGATGTATGTATGATGTATGGAGGGGTGGTCTTGAGTTCCAGGGCAGGGAATTTAAAATGTCTATATAAGGCCTTGCGCGCCATTGTTCTGGGTTCCTCAACCCGCCTGTGTGTGGTGAGTGAGGACCCTGTTGCAACAGTTTAATAAAGATCAGGCTTACAAGCTGCTTTGCTTCTCAATATTCTCTGGTTGGCCTCTGTTATTTTCTGCTACCAATAGGGAACCTACGTAAGGACTCTATATGGGCTCCTGGATACCCCATAAGCGGAAAAGCTCCCCCGCGGCCCACCCCTGCCAGAGAGTGATGCTAATGAGTTGACCCCTTTGAGAATCTGCCATTCTGCAAGCAGGCAGAGCCTACGAGAGGTAGGCTGGGGCCAAGGCTGCTTAAAAGGCCTCGATTCACTTCCAGCCCCTTTTTGGAGCAAGCTGCTTGGTGCCGCAGAGGCTGTGATTGAGTTCCCATGCACTGAACAGCGGCGCGATAAGGCAGGAATCAACAGGTCAACACCATGGAATTGCAGAGTTTGTAGGGACTCCAACAGACATCTATTCCAAACCTCTGCAAAGCAGAAATCTCAGCTATGCCCGCACCCCCTGTGAGTAACACCATTGCCTGCTTGGGTCTACGCAACGAGTCACTGTTGGCACAGCTGCAGAGCCTAGCTGAAAAGCTGGCAACCTTTCTTCACTGTCGACTGATTCCTACCTTTCGTCTCGCTTCCAGCTCTTGGGTCCATGTGGCCACAAGTGGTGAATGGACACCAGCAAGAGACAAAAGATAGGAAGAGACAGGGCCTAATTTGGGTGGGTGGGGGATATGTGCTGTGTGTTAAATCAGTTTCACAACCTGGTGCGTTGCTCTTCCATTGCACTTTTTCTCTGTTGGAACTCAGTTCCGGCCCCTCTCCAGTGGGCTCTGTTGCCGTTGTAAGGGAGGCATTCAGAGTGAGTTCTGGCACCTCGTTTTCTAGAAAAACAGAACTGCTTTTCCAAGCCTGCCGCCAAATATGTTGAATAATGGCAAATGGCAGGGTTTGATCAGTTGTTCCAGGCGACACATAGAGACGAATTTATGGAATTGTACAGGGAGCTTGTTCATCTGGCAAGTAGCTGCTGTCACAGAAAAACTCTTGCTGTTTGTGGTTTTCTGCCTCTGCTGCAACTGTTAGGTGGTGAATGTATGGTGGGAGTGGGGGGAGGTCAGTTTGGTTCTGTTCGCACCTCCCGAAACAATGTGAACTGGAATGCAGGTACCCTTCCAAATTCACTCCTTCCTGCCTGCCTGCCTGCCTGCAGCATAGCTCTCCAAATAAAGACTGTGCAGGAAAATGTATATATTGGGGGGGGGGGATGTGTATATATGATTTTAAAAATGCATTGTATTGGGAAATTGCACTTCTCTCTCTCTCTCTCTCTCTCTCTCTCTCCCACACACACACAAACACACACACGCATGCACATACTAGGACCAGCCAACCCTGTCCACTCTGCTCCTTTACACCTCAACCGCCCACTCCCTATTCCCTCTCAGCTCACCCCAAGCCCTTTTAAAGAAGTGCCTCCCCTTGACTGTAGCTGCGTTTAACAGGGGGAGGCACATCCTAAACCATTCTGCGAAGCACCTCCACCCACTGCCATTAAACAGTTCACCCGAGCCACATGCCCCCCATGCTGCTTGCTCACGCACTTGCCTGTTTGCCCCCTTTTGGTGACCATGCAAACTGCAGTGTGATGACAGCATTGCCTTTTTATGTATAGAGGAGGATATATATATTGGAGAAAATTGCATACAAAAATATTTACATTAAGAAATATGAACGGTAAAGGAATTTAATGAAGGCCTTTGAAACAAAAGTCACAAATGGGGGCAAACTGAGAAACAGGGAGAAATTATATAAGATCATATTGTACCAATCACACCATATTAGCAGAACTTGAGTAATACTTGTAAAAACAACAAATACCGTTTGTGGAGTAGACAGGAACAATATTAAAGAATATAAAACTGTGCAGGAAAAACGACAGTATAAACAGTACAATGAGAATGATTGGAAGACTCGTTTTGTCAGAAGTCTTTTTATTTAAGTGTTTAAGTATTAATTAGGAAGATTAAGTTTTTTTAATGTATGTAAATTTGCTTTTCTTCTGTATTTTCTTCTTTTCTTTTTTCTTGTTTTTTCTTTAATTTTCTTTTTGTAGTATGAGATTGTGAATTCTTTGTAAATTCTTTGTATAAGTGTGTAATTTAAATTAATAAAGATTATTTTTTTAAAAAAAAATAAAGGGAAAAAAAGAGAAACAGGGAGAAAACAGAATTGTCAGATTTGTCCTTGCCTAGCCCTCGGTTCCACTTCCATCCCATCCTAAATCGGCAGATCAAGCCCCATTTAAACCGAGGGCAATACTTGAGGCGGCAGGGAGGAAATCTGGTAATGCTGAGAATTAGACGGTGACCAGTTGATGCTCTGTTTTAAATAAAGCTCAGTCTCTCAACTTGGAAATTTAATTTCAGCCTTGGGGTGTATGAAGGCATAGTGAAGGTTGCCCTTGAGCATGTGCTGAGTGTCTTTCCATCACTAGTCCTGGCCTGGTCAGCCCTGCCTTGATTCAGAAAAAAAATATCACTGGCTTCAAGGGGACTTACTCCTGAGCAACTAAGCAATAGTTGGGAAGTTGTGGACTCCCTGGTAGGTTTTTAAGCAGAGGTTGGATGGCCACCTGCCATGGATGCTTTAGCTCAGATTCCTGCATTGCTGGGGGTTGGACTAGATGACCCTGGGGTCCCTCCAACTCTGCAGTTCTGTGATTCTAATAGGAACTTGATAGACTTAATGGGAGCTGAGCAGCTGGTACTGAAGCCATCTGCAAACAGAAATGTGCAGTCTCGTCTAATAGACCCACATTCCCGCAAAGCAATTTTGCCTACTATAATGCACTTGGGTATGTTAATTTCAGTAATATATGCATTGTATAGGCATTTACATTACCCTAATAGACGCATTCCTGCACACATTATTTGGCTAGAAACCTGCATTGCAAAATTCGGAGAAATGGGGTTTTTTTTTGCAAGGTGATTGTGTTAGCCTCACCCCCACCCAACCCACCTGCTGAATGTGATCCACACACCTGTGACTTGAGGTTAAGAGAGAGCTCTCTCCTGCAAATGAGCTATTATTGAAACAGCAGCGAATCTCCCACTTTGAATCTCCCACTTCAAAGGAACTCGAGACCTCCGCTTACAAAGGAAAGAATCACAGGCTGCACGTTGTTCAAAAGAGAAGTCCAAACCACTCTCCTTTAGAGAGCGATTTCAAAAGTCCTCTTTGCAATTTTTTTTTTTAGACCTTTTGAGCTTAAAGCAATAAAATCTCATCCACTGGCAAGTCAAGTTTGAAGGGTGTAAGTAAAGCCTGGCTGCAGGATCAGGCCCTTCTCACAGTGGCTAACTGAATGCCCCAAGGAGAAGCCCATAAACCTGGGTGCCCCAGCTACTCTCCCCATTTGCAATCTCTAGCAATTGGTATTCGGAGACATATTGCCGTTGACACTGAGTGAGGTAGTATATATGTGAGTACTGGCACATTCGCAGGGAAACTGAAATGCTTTTTTTACAAAGCTATTGTACAACCAACCTTACTGTATGCTTGTGAAACATGGACCACTTATAAACACCATCTCCAGCTCCTCAAAAGACTCCATCTATGGTGTCTCCGAAAATTTTTACACATCACTTGGGAAGACAGGCGAACTAATGCCAGTGTCCTGGAAGAAGCAAAGATGACCAGTGTCGAAGCAATGATTCTTCAACATCAGCTTCGTTGGACTGGTCATGTTGTGCGGATGCCTGATGATCATCTTCCAAAGCAACTAGTCTATTCCAAACTTAAAAATGGAAAGCGTAATGCTGGTGGTCAACAAGAGAAGTTTAAAGACTGTCTCAAGGCATATCTAAAAAAATGTAGTATAAACACTGACAACTGGGAAACACTGGCCTGCGAGCGCTCCAGTTGGAGAACAGCCTTTACCAAAGGTGTCATGGGCTTTGAAGACACTCAAACTCAGGACGCAAGGGAGAAACGTGCTAAGAAGGAGGCATGCTTAGCAAACTCTCATCTTGATTAACTCCCACCTGGAAACCTATGTCCCCATGTGTGGATCCAGAATTGGCCTCCACAGTCACTTACAGACTCATTGTTAAACCATGTTTATGGAAGACAACCTTACTCAGCTACGAGGGATCGCCGAAGAAGAAGAAGATGATGAGTGAGGTAGCTGGATCAGGCCAAGATCCATCCAGTCTTGCCTTCTATTCTCATAGTGGCCATTCAGATGCCTTATTAGGAAGCCCACAACCAGGACCTGAGCCGAAGAACACTCTCCCCTCCTTTGGTTTCCAGAAACTGGTCTTCAGAGACATATTGCCACCAGCAAGTGATAGCCAGCAGGTTTAGCAACCATAGACAGACTTC